GTTTCTTTCCAGTGGCTTCCACTCGAGTTGAGCTCACAATAGCTATTGAGTTGTCGCTTGAATGTTGAAAATCAAACACTAAACCTTTCCCTTTATTCATGTCAGTTGTAACCCGTGCAGGAGCTTCCAACCGTAGAAGAGTCTTTTGACCTTGAATATCATTCTCGAGACCCCAAACTGATTGGCGGACTCTCTCAATTCGAATCTTCTTCTCCTGTTGATCAACAACCGATAAATACGGCCTCATCTCATCAAGCACTTCCTTAGCGATTTTTGGTTTCCCCGATACTAGATCAATTCCAACATCATCATCCGTGAGCACTCCAAACAAGGGATCATCTTTGCTGATTTTAGGAATTAAGCGACTCGGAATAATGTTCGCAGCCTTAACTTCACCCGTAGCAATTACTTGCCGGTTTGAAGGATTAAAGGGACAGCGTTCCTTGTCATGAGTAAGGCGCAAGCATTGGTAACATCTCTTCCTGATTCGTTCATACTCGATTCCAATGCTCATTATCTCCCCCGTCGGAAGTTGGAGATCCCTGCAGTTCTTCAATGGTCTGTTAATGTCAAACAAAACACGTACCCGGACATAACCTCTGCTTCTCGGCTTTAGGGGATCAAAGGCCACATCTGTTACTTGGCCGATGTGTTCAGCAAAATCTTTGATTGTTTCTTCAGTATTATAGTTAATCGGAATGTTTCGTAACCTGATCCAAATCGGAATGATCTTTAGGTAATCATCCGGCGGGTTCTCAATCCATCTCTCCAAAGTCATACTCCAGTCATTAAAGGTCCAGGCTCCGGCTTCTAGAATCGTCAACAAGTCTGATTCTGAATCAAAGATGAACTGGAATTTGTCGTTTGGTAGAGCGATACCTCTTGCTCTGTTATTAACTCGCCACAGACGTGGCATCTCATGTATCAAACTTGACATCTTTTGATTTTCGGGACATAGAAGCTTCCCTATGATACTGCATCCATTCCGCACCGTAGAGCTATACTTAGGGTGGTTTTTCAGAACTATTGGTTTGTCATCTTCCAGTGTCATCTCTTGTAAGGCTTTGTCCAAGGCAAACTCCATACGTAAGACACACACAGACTAAAATTCTCCTCTGTAGCTACTTCAAAAATCAAGGGTTTAAAGGTTTGAAGCAAGCTGCGGCGGAGATTGTCAAAAGTAGGTTAAAAACCTCCAACGAAGGTGAATATTCCTTAAAAATACGACTCTAACAAGAAGATCTTCCCAAAATCCGGCGAAAAATGGAAATATTCCCGGTGACTTAAGCCTTATGTGACTAAGGTTGAAACCCTCTAACTCGTCTAGAGGTGCCTAAGCAAAAACCCTTTTTTTTCCTCTATCTTTATTAAGTTTTTCATTCCAAATTTCATTATTTAGTATTGTCTAGATCAGTTTTTAGATTGGTGACTTTAGTATTCAAGTTAGACTCGGTTCCGAAATCAGTTCAAATATTTCCGTTTATAAATAAACCGTTTTTTATTCTCTGCTTTATTTTTATTTGAACTTTGTTAGTCTTTTGCATTTAATTTATTACAAATCATATCTAATTATATTTGTCAGATTGAGTAGTTATATGAACCAATATTATATATGGACCTTGATAATGCAATATAATTCGATTTTGACAGAAAAAAATATATATGTATTTTTACTTTTTTAGTAAACTAGTTTTGTTTTTTTGAAAATCGACGCCTTAAACTAGTAAGTGTTAAGGGAGAAATTGGGCATCCCAATTTCGGCCCAAAAGCCCAAATGTCCAAAACCCAAACCCATTTGGAAGAGAATAGTCTCGAAACAGAAGCCCAGAAAACTAGGCCGCCCACTCGAGATAACCGCCTGTCAACGAGGACATGTCATCGGGTCGAAGGGAAGATTCAACAAAATCCTCCAAAAGACACCCTACACTGTACACTATAAATACGAGGCGTAAGATCCTGTCACATCCGTCCGAAAATAACGCTGACACGCAGAGAGTACACTGAGATCGTCCGGAATCTCTTGAGATCGTCCATAAGCGCTACATGATCGTCACAACACCCCTAGGTCGCAAGAAATCGCCTCGTCTCCTCTGACATTCAGTTCGTCTTCAAACTTTACTCAGTCTTTTCACATCGAGATCGTTTCTTGTAATTCGCCTGTTCAAGCTTGTTTGGGTTCGTTTTATAAAGGAGATTCTTTTTACTTTCCTAGAGATCCATATTTCCGTACTTGTGTGATTCGTGCATCAACCGATATATAGTTTACAAAAGTAGTTTAACTAATATTAGGCTTTTTTTAACAATAGCAATTCCAATAAAAACTCTTCCAAATTCTAAATGATGAAATTCTTGTTGTTCTAATTCTGCAAGATTAATTAACCGAAAAAAGGATAATCCACTAGTTCATATGTTTTTGTTAGAAATCAGGGACAATATCCGAGTTTTATTTTTGAGAAAATTTAGGTTTTTATTTAGTGTTATCTAGATCAGTTTTTAGGTTGGTGATCTTAGGGCATCATCAATGGGGGATCATGTGAGGGTGTTCTTATAGAGAATATAATGTTAAAATAATGTAAGATCATGTGTTTAGATCTTTTGTTTAGAAGTTGATTAGTGGGAGAACATGTGTAAGATCTTAAGACTTAATAATATAATAATCTAAATTAAATTAAGATTTTACAATTATTAAAACATTTAAAAATAACATATAAATTGCAAATGCCAAATTTATGAAAAACTGAAAATAAAAGTGAAAATACAATACTAAATATTTATGAAAAAAACATTAAAAATATAAATAACAATAAACAAACAAACATATTACTTAATAAAAGCACAAAAACATTTTATCTAATTAATACATAGTTTATTATCCAAATTTATTCCAAATATGTTGAATATTCCAACCAATGCCCAAATGCCACGTCACCCCGCAACACCCACAAGAACAGATCCAGGTCAAGAGCCCAGTTCCTGATCTTAAGCCCATTGACCCATTTTTTTGGATTTAAATAATGCTTAGATCAGGGGGGGTGATCCCCCAATGCAGATGGTCTTAGTGTTGAAGTTAAATTCGGTTCCCAAATCAGTTCAAATATTTTCCGTTTATAAACAAACCGTTTTTTTATTCTTTGTTTTATTTAAATTTTGTTCGTTTATAAATAAACCTATGTAAAATAAAATAAAATTAGACGTACTCAAATATTTTTCACGTTTAATTTTACTTCGATTTGAGCCAAAAGAAAAAGGATTTGATTTCTTTTTGTTTGGATATGAAAATCACGTGTGTGCATGAGTGACAGAGTACGTCAAGTGATAGCAATAACAGGAAAACGAGACACGTATGGCACGTGTCGACGAGCCTACACGAAAACTCATGAAGGGAAGCGTTCACGATGTACGTGTACGTTCACGATAGACGCAGCTTTTCTGTACCAAATTTATCCTTGAATAGTTCTTCTTGTTTATGCTTCTGTAATTTTTAAATGACGTTCCACTTTTATCCACATAATCTTTTTTTCATTCTTATTTTGGCAGTTTTTAAGAAATAAACGAAGAAAGAAGAGATTTTTAACAACAAAAAAATGTATCCGACCAAAAAAAAACAACAAAAAAATTTAGTGGAGAGAGCAAATGAGTCGGTGAGTACAAAGAGACAAGTGAGAACTAACAACATGACAAAGAGAGAACATAGGAGATGCTCAGTGTAGGTGTAGCGTAAGCCTACAATATTAACTTTCAATAACCCTTTTATTTAATTTCTCAATGTATTTGGTAGCTCGGCGAGTTATTTAAACGGTTAAAACCATTAAGAGCGTTGAATTAATGGGAATAATTTTTAAAATACCATATTTTTAAGTTTTAATGTCAAAAATGCCACTATTAATTGATAATCTAAAAATACTACTAAAATTCTGTTTTCTAAAAAAATTACGAACATAAAATCTGATTTTCAAAACTTCAGAATTAAATTTTTAGGTTTAAGTTAACTATTTTAAATTTAAGATGTAGTTTTTAAGAGTAGTGTGTAAGATTTCTGATGTAGTTTTGAAGATTTAAAGTTAAATTTTAATTTTTTGATATTTTTTTAAAAGAAGAAATTTAAGTGGTATTTTTTTAGAAAACAGTCTTCTCGTCTATTATATGCTCTTTAATTATCAGTTTAAAACTTATACATGTATTCTATTCCATTGATAATTTATACATGTATAAATTATTCCATTTGATAATTTATAGAGAGAAGAGTAGACGACCAGATATTTACTGCTAATTATCAAATGGAATATAAACTTCGGTAACTTAGGGGAAGAGGTTTACTCTATTCCGACAAAAAATGATGACTGTTTGTAGAGAGAAGCGTATACTACCAAATATTTACTTTATTTAAGTAAAATATCACAAATAAACTGATTTTAATAAACCGACCAAATGTAATCAAATGTAGTTTCCGAAAACGACAAGTCCTCTTCCGTGCATGATTTTTTTTTTTTTTGGCTTTTTACATCGGCATTTATTTCTAACTTCCTAAACATAAAAATAGTCATAAAACGTTTTTTTTTTGCCGTCTAGATTTATTATTAATTGCAAATTATGAGAACTGTTACATAGACGATTCTACAACTGACAATTTCTACCGATCCTTAGTAGATCCACGACAGACTACACTTCCTTCTTCATGATTTTGATGAATACCTTCAATGATCCACGACCTAGCGACACTTCCTTCTCTGCGTAGAATCCTGGCGCACGGCTATAATTGTACATCGCTGGAGATCTCCTGCACACTTGCCTCCATTAATCTGCAAATTTGTTAATAAATCGCAATATCTGGGACTCGAACCCCAGACCTCTTAGTGTAGAAGCATTAATCAACCTTTGGTCAACCAATGGGCCAAAGGGGCTTCCACAATCATAAAACGTTAAGTATATTATATAATATATATATATATATATATATATATATATATATATATATGTTAATTGCAAGTTTCGTACCGGTGCATAATCTGAAACTATATAAACCGGACAAACCGAAGCATAGAGATTACAAAACCCCAAGAAGAAGAAAAAAATGGAGAATCCAAGCTCAGACACAGAAAAACTTCAACAAGATTGTTATAACGAATGGATGAGTTTACAAGCAAAACGCATGACTGAGCTTAAAGAAGCTTTATCCACCGGTGAAAAAGACGATGACAAGCTTCGAGATTTGATACGAACAGCGATAAAAGATTTTGAAGACTACGCCGGAAAACGGTCGGAACATTCCTGTCGATTTAGTTCAAACTATTTCGCTCCGAAATGGAACACTTGTCTTGAAAACGCACTTCTTTGGATGGGAGGTTGTCGTCCCTCTTCGTTTATACGACTCGTATACGCCATGTGTGGGTCTCAAACCGAGCACCGTTTAAGCAACTTCTTCAATAACACCAATGAAGACATCCACGGTAAGTCAGAGTAGCTAATTAAGTCTCTTTGAAAGCAAAGCTGAAATTGCGTTTTAGAGTCCAAAAAAGGTCACTTTCTATCTTCATGCAAATTTAAACTAAAACAATATTATAACAGACGTACGTAGTCTGTGACTATTATAAAGTGATAAAAACATTTTATCAAATAAATTAAAGTCAAAAATCATATTACGCAAACGTCGTATAGGTCTAAGCATGGCTTTGGGTGAGACACGTGGTGGAATCGGAGCAGGAGAGTCTATGAGTGATCTTACGGCTGAACAGATAATCAAGATCAACGAGCTCCATCTGAAAACAATAAAGGCAGAGAATAAGCTGACTAAACTGTCGGCAAGCTTACAAGAAGACACGGCGGATATGCCTATCGCCGTCGCAGCGTTTTACAAAGAAGTGATCGGACAAGCTGACATGGCGGTGGAGCGTGCGCTTGATAAGCATGAAGAGGATATGGCTGGTTTATTGGTTCAAGCGGAAAAGCTGAGGTTGACCACATTGACTAAAATCGTTGATATATTAACGGCAGGTCAAGCGGCGGAATTTCTTCTCGCCGGGAAAAAACTTCATTTGGCGATGCATGAGTGGGGAAGATCAAGAGAACATCGCCGCATTGAAGCTAGTGGTGGTGATACCATTGGAGAAGTTGCCCGAGAGTAATCGTTGTCGATTGGACTTTAGAAATATGTAAATAAGTAATATAACAATAACCAAGGTCGGACAGATCTTGGCAATTATATAGTGTGTATGATATATTAGAATTTTAGTTCAGAAAAATTTGTTTTGTTTTGTTTCATTACTAAAGGGGATGTATTGGAATTGTAGTTCATTTAGTGGGATTGTGGGCCGGGGGTTTATGGGCTTTTAATGAATAAAATGTTGTTTTATTAGAGATTTTAGGATATAATCACTATAATCTTCGGTTATTTTTAGAATTTCTAGTGATTTTTTAAAAATATATTTTGTCTTGTATTGAGTGAGTTATATGACTCGGATTCCATTACGTTACATGCATATATTTTTTATAACTCTGAATTCCCAATCCACTTGTGAATTGTGATCATACACATTTTTACGTAACATTTTTGTGGCGACCAAAAAAGTGACATAACATAGATGAGAAACTGACAAAAAAAGAGTTACTCGTCTTGTGACAATCGGCATGCAAGCAGATCTTTGTAACATAGATGAAAAGCTGACAAAAAAATAAGTTATCTTTTGTTTTAACCTTGTCATTTCCGTTGACCTTAAGTTTCCTACTGAGTTTGTAGGAAATTATTTGTTTTTTTTTTTAAGTTACAAAAATGATTTTTTTTTTCATTACACATTGACGCATGTGTATATATAAGAACCAAGTACAACTATTTACGATTTCTTTTTGTTGAATTTTTCATCTCAGCTCGTGATATGTTAATTTATATATAAGCTCGTGATATGTAGGTAGGCTAAGTCGAAAGATCGAGACCATAATGGTTAGAAGATCTCATATTAGAATTAGTGTTCCGGTTTTGTAGTGGTTAGAATGTCCCACATTTAAATTATGATATGAGCTCTCGAAGAGTTGTCTTAGAGCATCAATAAGAAATTCACTGGTACCTTAAATATAGTGTTTTATTCATTTTAATTATTTATTTAATTCTTAAATTATAAATCAAAGGTAGACCAATTAAATAATAACATCTGTCAAATAAGTATGTTAAAAACCAAAAAAAAAAAATTAAGTGAGAAGCATATCTCAACATCTCTCATATTTTTTTTATTATATTTATTTTTTAAATCATGAGAACTCCATCAAGAAATTCTTGATGGAGATGGTCTTACATACTTTGTTGTGGCAAGACAGTATGCGTTGCTATTATATAGGCGTTTGAAGTTCATAAACCAATACGAAATTAATAAAGAAGAAACAGAAAAATATATAGCTTCTAGTGCATCCAGTTCTGTAGTAAAAGCCAGAGCACTCTTTTGGTCTTCAAACCATTCGGATCTGATCAATGAGTTTGTTGCAAAAACGACTATACCTTAAATTTAAGCAATTCATCACTCCAATTTATAGCTTTCGAGACAAAGAGTATATACGAGTGTATTCAGGGACTTCTTTTTTCCTATCATGAATGAATGATAAAAATTGTGAAATTGAGCATACTATTAAAAACGAGTAGACTAAAAAGATTTAGAAAAAGTCCATTAGAAACGACCGAATATAGGCCATTCGTATTTTACAGCCCATATAACGCCTAACAACATCCATCCTTCTCAGCCCAATTTGTTTTTTTTTTTTTTTTAGGAAATGGTCAATATTCACCCCATATTCAAGTTATCCAGATAAATTGTCCGATCAATTATAGATTTTTTTTTTTTTTTTTTTTGAGTAAAACCAACCATAGAATTTATGTTTTAGAGGATTATATGTCGCTTTTCGACTTAGTTAATCAATATTACTCTCAATCACATCCTTTACTAGCTTATGCTTTCAACACGAATAGTACAAAAAAACTGAAACATTTCACGCATAATGTTTCTCTTTCGTGACATTGTCGGCAGGCAAGGTCAGTTCACACATTCAAACACTGGCAACACAGTTAAAAACTAGTCAATCGGTAAAATCAATCCATTTTTTTTTTGCAACTCATCGGTCAAATAACACCTAAAAAATTCAATTCCAACCAAGTTTATGTTCTACGACTGATTTAAATAGGCATAATTTTTCTCTAATATCCATCATCTCCTTGATAACAGATCCAACTTGAAGTGGCCTGCTCTTCTTAGAACTAGCTTTCCCTGGATTCTCTGGAGGATTTGGACTAACAGAAATCTCACTCTGTTTGAAGGGAAAAGTTTCTCGGCTCTGGAAACTGTGGAAAAGATCAGAGAAGACTTGAATGAGTGGATGGAGGCTCAAAAAGTTGAGTCTGAGGGTGAAGAACCGTCTGTGGTTGTGGTTGATAGGGATGGTCCTCAGGTGAATATTCTGGCTGCGGGTGTTTGGCGGCCTCCGGATGTGGGCTGGCTCAAATGTAACATTGGTGTGGCCTGGTCTAGGAGGAATAGAATTGCAGGGGGTGCATGGGTGGTTAGAGATGAAAAAGGAGTGGTTTTGTTGCATAGTCGTAAGGGTTTTCTCAATGTATATATGCAGCAAAATGGATGCCCAATTTGAGATTTTGATGTGGTGTATTGAAAGTATGAGGAGCCATAATCTGGGAAGAGTCATGTTTGTCTTACAAGCTGATGAACTGGTGGGTGCTGTGAATAGGCCTATGGCCTGGCCTTCCTTCTACTTTCATTCCTCGGAGGTTAGGGAACTTTTGAAAGGGATCATTGAATGGAAGTTGTCAAAGAAGTCTGTCCTTGCAAATAGAGGGGCGTATCTCATTGCTCAAACTGTCACTTCTGATCTAAGATTACATTCTTATGTAGCTTTAAGTCATCCTAGTTGGCTGAATCGTTTGTTTGAGGATGAGAGAGCTTTTGCCTCTTTTTGAACTGCAACGTCTTTGTCCCTGTTTGGATCATTGGTGGTGTATCCATTCTTTTGTATCGGCACTTAGGTTTTGTCAAAGGTACTAGGTTCGTAGATGTGGTAGAGAGATTTTTGTTTCTCTCTTTCTGTGGCAGGTATGGCTAGGTTTTTTGTAAAGTGCAGTCCACTATTTATCTAATATAATTCCAGATGACCAAAAAAAATAAGCATAATTTTTTTTGTATATAATAAATATTCTAACCTCATAATTATTCAGAAGTACAAATCTTTAATTGAAAGCGGCAATCAAGGATCCGATGGTGTAATAAATTCCAACAGCAAGTAGTCAGTCAGGTGGTGCTGGGCACATGTGACATTGGCCCTACTTTCCTTGCTTACGATGCGTTTTCTGCTGGACCGGATTCAATTTTGCTTTTACTTTATACCGGACACAAGATCCGTGCATGAACCAGAATAATTGAGAAAGAAAAATACATATATATATATTTTTTTTTTAACAAAAAACTTCTGATAGATCAATAATATAAATCTAGAAGACACAAAACATATACAAAAAGTTGCAGTAATGGAATATGGAAATCCAAAAAAGGATAGTTTAATAAGTATATAAGAAGAAGAAGACAAAAAAAAAACACAAAAATTTAAGCAATAATGACAATTATTAAATTATTTAAGAATACTAATAAGAAATATAAGGAGCATTAAGATTTTAATTACTCTATATAATACAACTTTTCCCTGCAAACCCCTAATTTCCTCCTCTTGATTTTTTATCACCGAAATAAATCTTTCGGAGAATACCCAACCACCGACACGTACCTCTCTCTCCAAGAAATGGGAAAACGACGCCGTGTACATGTTCCATCAATCTGATAAAGAGTTATTGACACGACACGACACCGTTTCGGCTTCGGGTTTTGGCATAAGTGGTGGGACCCCTTTGAGAACATTCTGAAAAAAGAATCAATAGAAGGGAGGCGGCGGAGGAGAAGCGTATGATATTCCGGGAATCGGCGGTAGTGGTCCTTCGTAGATTGGAGTTGGTGGTGGTGGGCTGTGGTGAATTACCGGTGGAGGTGGTGGGCTGTAGTGGACAGCCGGTGGTGGTGGAGGTGAATTGTAGTAGTAAACCGGTGGTGATGGTGGAGGACTGTAGTGCGCCGGTGTTGGTGGTGGTGGAGGATTGTAATGGACTGTTGGAGGTGGAGGCGGTGAGTATTCTATGCACGGTTGGGGTGATGGTGGCGGAGGGGGGTGTAGTGGCGTTGGTGGAGGTGGTGGAGGTGAGTGTGGTGGTGGTGAGCTGTAGTAGTAGGGGACTGGTGGTGGTGGTGAAAATTGAGGCGATGACGGCGAGTGAGGTGGAGGTGAAGGAGGGGGAGTGTAGTAAATTGGAGTTTGCGGTGGTGTTGGTGGTGATGGCTGCGGTGGATAGTATGTTTGCGGCGGAGGAGGTGGCGGCGATGGGAACGGAGAGTATGTCGGAGGTGGTGACGGTGATGTGGAAGGAGAGTATGGTGGAGGTGGTGATGGGGAAGGTGAGTAAGTTGGCGGTTGTGACGGAGGAGAGTACCCTGTAGGCGGCGGTGGAGGAGAGTAAGCCGGAGTAGGTGATGACGGCGGAGTTACAACGGGAGGACTAGGAACAACAGGCGGTGAAGGAGGACCAGGATACGGTGATGACGGGCCTAAACCTGGCGGACTGGGGATAATAGGCGGTGAAGGAGGACTAGGTGACGACGGCGGAGAAGGGCCTGTGAACGGTGGACTAGGAATAACAGGCGGTGAATGTTGACCAGGTGATATCGGAGTTGGCGGAGTTGATGGGGGAGACGGGAGAATGATTGGAGGATTAGATGGCGTAGAAGGAGGAGACGGGGCAGTGATCGGAGGACTAGGAGAAATAGACGGTGAAGGAGGAGAAACACCTGGAGATGGTGTAGTTGACGGAGGTGACGGGACAATAGACGGTGAAGGAGGAGAACCACCAGGAGATGGTGTTGTCGGCGGTGACGGGACAGTAGACGGCGAAGGAGGAGAACCACCTGGAGACGGAGTTGTCGGCGGTGACGGGACTACAACCGGAGGCCGAGTAGAACGGCCACATCCAAATGAACCACAATCCACCGGTGGAAGAGAAGAGAAAGCCGCACATTGTACCGGAGATCTCTGCGCAGGTCTCGACGGCAAACAATTCCGCCGATCATCAAACCCAGGCAAACCGAGACACACGGGTGGCTCTCCAGTGAAGAAATTGTAACTGAAAGTGAAATTCTCCAACCTCGGCAACTGACAAATACTCGCCGGAATCTTACCAGAGAATCTATTATGCGCCACATTTAACTGCTCCAACGAAACCATCCCGCCAATACTCGCCGGTAACGACCCAACCAGTTCGTTAAAACTGAAATCAAAAACCGTTACGTTTTTCAACCGTCCGATCTGCGGCGGTAAACAAGAATTAAACCCATTGTTCATAAAAATAATCTCTTCAAGATTCTTCATATCACCCAAACTCGTCGGAATACAACCGTGGAAATGATTATTCGCCACAACGATAACGGAAACCGGAGAATCTCCCAAATTATCCGGTAGCTCAAACCGGAACCGGTTATGGTTAATGAAAATCGCATCAAGATCTTTGCTGAAGAGCTCTCTAGGCACAGGTCCTTCGAACTCGTTAAACCTTAGATCCAGAAACTTCAACGACGGCAACTGGAGTACAACGGTAGGGAATATTCCGGCGAACCGGTTATTACTGAGATCAAGCTCGAATAAAAGCTTAAGCCGATTAAACCGATGCGGTACGGTTCCACAAAACCGGTTTGAATTAACATGAAACAAAGCGAGATCTGTTAACAAACCAAGCTCTTGAGGCAAATAACCAGCAATATCAGCGTGATTGAGATCTATCCCGGCGACGGTACGGATCCGGCGATTATCTAACGCCGGAGCACAGTAAACTCCGGTGTAACTGCAAACATCAGAACCGATCCAGTTTGTTGTGAAGTTGTTTGGATCAGAGAGAATAGCTTGTTTCCAAGCTTGAAGAGCTATGTAAGCATTTCGGAGACGTGGATTCTCGAAGACTAGAGATGGATCAACGACGACATTCTCGCCGCGGTCGCCGAGCTCGTCACGGAAGTAGAGAAGCTGACGTTGTGTGATTAGCCGGACTTGGTTGTCTGAGAGATCGCCATTGAAAGTGAGTGGAAGAGAGTGAGTGAGGCTTGTGAAGAAGAAGAACAATGTGAAAAGAAGAACAAAGATCTGAGACGTCTTCTTCATCATCATCTTCGTCTTCATTGCTCCACACAAGAAGACATCTGTGTGAAATGGCAGAGAATGGGAGATTTGAAGGAAGAAGAAGGGTATAATAAGAAATGTAAGGGAGAAAATGTTTTCCCTCTATGTGAAGAAGTAATGTGTGAAGAGGGAATAATTTTATAAGAGAGAGAGAGAGAGACAGGTCTTTGCACAGCTCAGCCCTATAATTCACTTATTATAACACTGTTTTAACACTTTCAAAAATATAATGTTAATTAATTGATGTGTGTCCATAAATTACCTAACAATTATATAAATGTAAGATCGACTTTTTTTGTTACCTTTTTGAACTAATCAATTACATACGTTACAAATTATACAATTGTTTAAAGATTTTGGTCAACACTTTTAACTTTTAAGCTTGGAGTAAAGACAATTTACATTGCTCTAGGCACTAGGTAGTTAATTTTGGTTTGCATCATTTCTACTTTTAACTATTCCAATTCTCTTCTTGCTAGATAGAAATTTGCATGGGAATATTGTTTGTTAAACCAAAGCCAATATAGTAAATGAATATCTTTTTCGTATTTTAAATAAATTTGAATCGAAATGAGCTCAATTTTTGGAACAGAACAAAAAGAAGAAGAAGAAATGAGCTCAATTAGCATTTTCTCCCACTTGACATGGATTATCATTATTGTTTAAGCCCATAAATTGAAATGTTGTTGGGCTTTGTATTTTACAGCTATAATAATGTCTAACAGTAAGATAAATGAATTAGTTGAAACTCGTAAGTCACGTGTATTCATTTTTTTCTTTTGAGGTGTCAATAATACTCACCAGTCGAACCATAAATAAAAGTTCAACAGTTAACTGTTCTTATGTCGGAATAGTCTTAAAACGACATGACCCACAGTAACAATATAACTTTAAATTATCTCTAATTCTATATATTGGACTGACAGAATATGACTTAAAACTTTCAGAGAGGGAAAGCGTTTGGTCTCCGCCGACTGAAATATTCCAGTAATAACCGTCCTGAGTGACTCGGGTTTTTGTCCGGTATCTTTCAGCTCCTTTAGTGGAGATGACCGGTTCGTGTTCAGCAAATCCTGCTTCCATGAGAAGTTTTGGCCATTTGTATCCTTGCTCGTAGTCGATCAGTTTTATACTGATTGCTTTGTTCTTTTCAGTTTTCTTTTTCAATAAATTTTAAAAGATCTGAGATGGTAATTAGTTTTAGGTGCTAGTTGCTTAAAATTAATTTCTGTCTTGTGTCTTTAGAAATTTCAATTTGCAGAAAATCTTTCAAGGGATTATGTATTGGGGTTGAAAGATTGAAGAATATTCCGATGCTTATTACGATTCCCTTATGCCGTGTCTTTTAAATGGAGCACCGTTAAGATTTATTTCGGTGGTAACTAGTAACAAGAATTCTTCATGCGATGTTTTGGCGATGTTTTCCTCACCGAATTCGGTGTTCGTCGGCGGCGAAGGTTGATGTCGGTACACTTCCGATGATTCTTCATCATGTGTTGCAGTTATAATCTCATGTCGACACCTGTATTGGATAGAGTCCAATGTCAAATATCTTTATGTCGTAGATGTTAATCTGGTAGGCTCTGTTGGGCCTCACTTTTATTTCTACATAAATCGTTGTAGACTTCAAAGTCTTGTTTCCCCTTTGGTGGATTAATAATATAATACACTTGAAAAAAGAAAAGACTGACAGAATATGAAAACAATAATGTTTATATTTACCATTGATGTTATTGCGATTGTCAATGCTAAGTTTTTGTATGTAGAAAGCCTAATACGTGTGATCTTTTAACTTTATCAATATATATTTGGATACATCTACTTTTAATTAGAATTCAAGTTTAGGTATTGTAGTAATTAGAAACCACTAATTAGGATAATTTAGTAATTTGCTTAGAAAAAGATTAGTTCTCAAAAACATTAATAATAAAGTGTAATTTTCAAAATTTCAAACAAAATCTTTGTATATTTTTACAAAATTCCTCAATAGGAATCTCGTCCAATATAAAATGAGCTTAAAGTAAATAGACTATTTATAAAACATTAGCCATCTTTGGATTTTTTTATATATATTTTTTTATAAACAAGTCATCTTTGGATTGCTAACCATAATTTACGGAATTCCCACAAAAGAAGATATTTTGTATGTCAATTTATAATGCGCCACTAGTATATTCGTATGCGCCCTTTTTGTCCGTTTCCGTGTAAAAAAGCAAAGATCCAGAAACCCAAGAGAGAAGACATCCAATTTAATAAAGGTTCCACGATTTCACCAAAACCCATCGTATCCATTTTTTTTTTTAACCCATATCGTATCTTGATTACACGTACTGTCGTATATGCATGCAGTTATAATTACAGCTTTTCACTCGAAGCACATTACACATATATATCATATTAAAAAAAAATTATGACAAGAAAATAAAATAAAAACAAATACACACATGCAACTATCCAGTGTATATAAGAATAAGACAATAGAGCTAGTAACGTTTAAATTTCGTCCACGAACTAACCAACGAAAAATAATAATACAGAAAGAGAGCAACTTCAACAAGGATGTTACTATGATTGGATGAGTGTACAAGCTAAACACATAGTTGGTCTCAAAGAAGCACTCACGAGTCATCGATCCAAAGACGATCACAAGCTTGAAGAAGTCGTTGATAAAATAAATCGTCAAATGACTTCCAAAAATACAACGAAAAACGATCCGAGCTCTCTCGCCGAAGCTGCTCAAGCTACTTTAATTTGCACGTGCGGAGGATGCAACCGCCGCAAGACGTACGTATATTAGATATATATTGTCTAAGTAGAGATGAGATCATGTCATGTGTCTTTATGTGTACAGGCATGATGCATGTATAAGCTTTTGCTTTTGTCTTATTACATAAGGATCGGAGTAACATTAGTTCCAAAGTGAAGAGACGCCTAATTCTTTGTGTACAGAGAAGTTTTTTTTGCCATGATTCTTTTGTTTATTTGGGTTTTTTTTTTTCATTGTCGGAGCTACGAAAATATTAGTTTATACCCTTGTTTGAAAAATCGCTAGGCGCTAGTCGGGCGCTCGGCATGGGCCTAGCGATTAATCGGAAAATCGGATTAAAATCGGGGATTAATCGGGGATTAGTTTTAGGGTTATTTTAATATTTTTAAAACATATTAATCCAATATTATTTTTAAAATTGCAGTAAACAAATAAAAATGTATTTTTGAGACAAATATTTATGATTTTTATTAAAATATGAACATAAATTATTGTAAAACATTACAAACTCCCAATTCAAATGATTGAATAACAAAAATAAAAAGTTTTTTTATACTGGCAATCTAAAAATAATCGGGGTATGTAAGATTAGGCGGGGAATAATCGGATTAGGCGGGGAATAATCGGATTAGGCGGAGAATAATCGGGTTACTGATTTTTTAGGGGATTAGTCATTAATCGAGGCGGACAGGGTAGGCCTAGCGATTAAGCGGGGAGTAATCGGGTCTAGGCGGGGATTTTTAGAACAGGGGTTTATACGTTGCATGCAAGATATAGATATAGATATGTTCTTTTGACCAACTTAAATAGATATCTTTTTTTTCCAACTTAATTTGTTTTGTTTTGATTTCATTGGTTTTCCATAAATTTTAAATGTAATGAGTACTTGTGAATAGGGGTGTCAATTTAATTAGGTTATTTTCTTTTGTTTTGATTCATTTCCCTAAATTTAATGTTTTTTTCTTTGCAACTTAATTTGTTTCGTTTTGTTTTGATTGGTGTTCCATAAATTTAAAATCGTCCCTTCGAATATATCACTCATGTTGTAATTCGATGGCCAACCATGGTTATAACAATCCACAAAAGAAGATATGATCTATATATCTCTAATTCATTTTTCAAAGTGAAGTATGTCCAAAACAATTTTGTCAGGCACTAGTATATATATGCATCCACGTTTTGTCCGTTTCCATATAAATAATCAAATATCCACAAACCAAGAGAGAAAACATCCAATTTAATCAAGGTTTAAAGCACGATTTCACAAAAGCCCACCGCGTAGTAGATTACACGTACCGCCATACATCCATCCCTTTAAACTACATCTGTATTAACCTAATCTACACATGTCTTATTAAGAAAATACAAAGACATGCACCGATCCAATGTATATAAGACCATAGGGGAATTACGTTTTAATAACTAACCTGCAGCAAAAAAACAATAAGAGAGATATGGAAAGATCTTCAAGTTATGGAGTTGAAAAACTTCAAGAACGATGTTACAATGAGTGGATGGGTTTACAAACTAAACACATAGAGGATCTCAAAGAAGCACTCATGTGTCAACAAAACAACGATCACAAAGTCGAAGACCTAGTTGGTAAAATCGTCAATGACTTCCAAACATATGCAAGAAAACGATCAGAGCTCTCGCACCGATGCTGCGCTAACTACTTTGCACCGTCATGGAACTCTCCTATAGAGAACAGTATGCTATGGATGGGAGGATGTCGTCCTTCTTCTTTCATTAGACTTATATACGCGCTTTGTGGATCCCAGGCCGAAACTCTGCTTACTCAAAATCTTCTTCATATCGATGAAAACTTTGACGTAAACCATGGTGGTTTCATGAGTGATCTTACCGCGACACAGCTTGAAAAAATCAATGAGTTGCATATGAAAGTAATAAAGAAAGAAGACAAGATTACGAAGACATCTGCGAATTTTCAAGACGATGTGGCGGATATGCCAATCGCGGATGTGGTGGTGCATGGTGATGCAGCGGTGGAGGATGCTTTGGATAAGCATGAAGAGGGTATGGCGGTTTTACTGGCGGAGGCTGATAAACTGAGGTTTGAGACGCTTAGGAAGATTGTGGAGGTTATGACTCCGGTTCAAGCGGCGGAGTTTTTGCTTGCCGGGAAAAGATTACACTTTTCGTTGCACGACCGGGGAAGAGCTAGAGCAGATGTTTGTGGAGGAGTAGGGGACGACGCCGTCGGAAGAGGCGGAGCGGGGAAGTCAGACAGAACCACTTGTTGAAGTGAGTGTGTGTATTTAGCATATAATATGTGTAATATTTGTCTAATTAGAGTGTAGACACGGGCAGGTCCGTGCCTATATTGTGAAAAAAGAAACGTTCGCTTCCGGCCAATTTTTTTCTTAAACAATTCAATGGCTCACTAATTTTTTTATATAGTAATTTAAGTCCAATTTTAGTATCCAAACATGATGTTGTAGATCAAATAGTTACTAAGTTTTATTTTAAGATAAGTAAATATTAAAAGTAACCATTAAATTTAGAATAATACATGGCCGATTGGTATCATAAGTTAATTGTGGATTTGAACTTTTTTACCGTTGATATTTCTTTGGCTGTTTTTTCTATTAAAATATAGGTTTAAAATGAGAAAAGTTTATTTAGTGATTTTATAAGAAAGAAATTAAAAAAATAATCATTTTAAATTAAAATTTTACTCTAGTTTTTGTTTATATAAGATAATGATATTTTTTGAAAATTTTGATTTAGAAGATATGAGATTTTTTTTAAATATCGCTTCCGTTCTCTAAATCTCTAGGCACGGCTCTGGACACGGGTCATGTTTAGTGTCTTCATGTGTATTGAGATGTTGCAAACATAAGCTTTTGTTTTTGTCTTATATATCGAATAACAAAAGCTACAAAAAAAATCAATAGAGGACTTTTTTTTTTATGAATACAAATAAGTCGTGATTGTTTCGCTCTAAATTCCTTGATTTTTTTTTGTTTTATTTGAATTATTTTTCTCACAATCAAATTACTAAATACTATATTTTTACATTTCATGCAAGATTAAAATTTGTTTTTTTTTTCTTTTCCCCTTGCCTACTTGATTTTTCATGTTTTGTTTTGATTGAATTTCTATGGTATTTGTTAGATGCAAAGAGTATAGTGTTTACTCTAGTTATAAAAAATTCCTGGAAAATAAAATTAAAATTTTTCTAAACTTTATAAATAATTTGAAAATTATATATTTCATTCAAATACGTGAAAAAACTTAAAACAAAACTAGTGGTAGTTGATAATTGGTGTCCCTTCGGGACATCCAATAAATTTGGCAATTGGTAATTTGTTGGATCTTTATATAACTCGAATATTCATTATTGACATATGGATTATCAATGTTGTGTAAGCGGTAAGCCCATAAAATGAAATGTTATTGAACTTTGTATTTTAACAGCTACAATGTCTAACAGTAAGTTAAATGAACTATAGTTAAAACGAGTATTCATTTTCGTTAGTCCATAAAGAGAGCTTTGGTTGTTTCAACTGGTTACGAGACGTTTGGCTGTGGCACGAAAGATTTGAAGTCAAATATGCTTCGGCTCCAAGGTAACCAACGGCTGATATTCTAGCTAAAAATTATCATGATCCTACTCTCTATTTGTATCACTCGTATACTCCAAGTCTCATTACTTTTTTTTTTTTTTTTTTTTTTTTTTTTTTTTTTTTAACTCATACCTTTTCATTAAATAAAAGAGGGAATTACACAGTGATCCTCCAAAAGAGAGACGACCTACAGTACAAACAGAGATTACATCAATTAATCTACTGGAAAACACCAAACCAAGTGACCAAAAGAGAAGGCTCAGGAAGAACAATCTTCTGAGCTCTAGATAAGGGATCAAGATGACATCGTAGAATGCTCTTGATCTCTAAGATTAACGCAGAGGACGGCTTGGAGGAGGAGGAATGAAGTCTTGAGTTTCTTTCTTTCCAAATGTAGTACATCGAGGCTTGATAAGCGAGTCTTAGAATCCAAGCCGTGTTCTTGTCGCGGCAAGGATTCTTGAGCCATCTCATTACTTATGTATAGTGCATAACCGATTACATGTGTTCTGCAAGTTGATAAAGAAGCTATTTTACGAGCTTAAAAGAATCTTATTGATTTCTGATCGTCAAAACTTATTTAAAAAAATATATTAAAATCTCACGTCTAATTAAAGGAAAATGTTGTATTTAAACCTGACAAGTTGCTGGGTACGTTTTTATATTTCAACAAAAACGATATATTTTTTAATTTCAAAATTAAAAAATGTTTAAATAAATTATCTAAACGGTTGATTTGAGCTTAAAACTACATTGATTTAAACAAACCTAATCAACCATTTGTTTTCACTTACTTAGACGACATGAGAGCGACGAGGAATAACGTTATATTGGTCATTTGAGTTCATAAACTCAATACAATGATAACAAAGTTGCATTTTATTTTTACCAATGTTATTTCGTCTTTGACAAACATCGTTGTTTTGTTCAGTTTAGTGACTTAAATGACCAAAACGACGTCGTTCCGTTCAGTTTATGGACTTAATGACCAAAACAGGTCATTTGATTAAGATAAAATGATATCTCATTGTCATCATATCGTCTAAGTGAGCGAAAATAAACGGATGAATTTAAGTCAATGTAGTTTTACGTTCAAAATTGATAGTCTGGCTAGTTTATTTAAATTATTTTGGCGTTGAAGTTGAAAAATATATTATATGTTTGTTGAGATATAAAACGTATTTTTTAATTTGTTCGGGTAAGTACACCATCTCATCTAATTAAAATCAAATATATATATATATATAATAGCAATCTCAACAAATGTGTTTTGCTCCTCTAAACGATTGCGTCTTTTTATCGCACCCTTTCGTTTAAATATTTACGGTTATTTTTGTGGTTGTATATTTTTATCGCATCTCTTCGTTGAAATATTTACGGTCGTATCTTTTTATCGCATTGTTAGCTTAAATTTTAGTTAAAAAACCAAAATTTAAATCTATATATATAATATGAGACGTAATTTTAAATGAATGAATATTTTTCAAAAAGTTGCAATCTGAATAAATATTTTTACGGTTGCATTTATTTATCGTAACACCTCATAAAACAATTTGAATCATTGCAACATTTACTTTATTTAACAAACAATTGTAATTTTTATTTATTTTATAAATAGTTAAAACATTTAATTTTTTAAAACTAAAACTATATTTTACGGTTGAATTTTTTTAGAAAGTTGTGATCCGAATAAATATCTTCTACGCTTGCGTTTTTTTATCGTAACTATTCGTAAACGGTTGCAACTGTTTAGTTGAACCATTTTAATATTTAATTTATTTCACGAACAAATGCAACTCTTGGTTTATTTTATAAACCGTTATAACATTTAGTTATCTACAATTATGTCTTTCGGTGTAACTTTTTATAAACTATTATTTCAATTTTAGTTACTAAAATGTATTTAAATAAAATTATAACTGTTTAATTGAACCGTTGTAATATTTGGTTTATATGACAAATTATTATAATTTTTTTTTATGAACCGTTGTAATCTTTAGTTTATTTGACAAACCGTTGCAACATTTGGTATATTTGACAAACGATTGCAACTTTTACTATAGATGATATCTACGGTAGCCTCTTTTGGTTATAGTTCTTATTCAAATTTTTATTTTTGATTACTATTTAAATGAATATGTTGGTACAGTTTAATAGAACATAGTAACATTTGGTTTATTTGACGAACCAATAAATATTTTGGCTTATCTGATGAACCGTTGTGACATTTGGTTTATTTGATTAACCGTTATAATATTAGATATATTTGATGAACCATTACAACTTTAGTTTATTTGATGAATTATTACAACTTTAAGTATATTTGATGAGCCGTTGCAACATTGCCTTTTGTAATATATTTTTGAGAACATTAACTGAAGCTTTTTTTTTTGAAAAAAAAAAACTAAAGTTATATCTGTTCATTTATAGTATTATCTTGTCATCATGTTTTATTCGTGTTTTTATCACAAACACTTGGTTTCATTAATTTTGTTTTTACAAATAATTTTTTATATTTAAACTTTCATGTTTTTTTAACTCTATATATATATTTTAAAACGAAAAAGTGGTGTAAATTTATTATTTCTTTTTATTTGATATTTTTCATAAAAAGTTACATTTTTGCTATTTAGCATACATGTAATACTTTGTTATCTATATCATTATTATTTTTTTCTAAATAATTATCGATTTTGGTTATTTGTTAAATTTTTCGAAGATTGTCTTTTTTTAACATAATACAATTTAAAATATTACGTTTTTTATTGTAATATTTTGATGAATATATTTATATAGTTATATTTAAAATTAAAAAATTATGTCTACTTATTATAACTTTTTGTTAAATATTTTTTATTTATTATCGCATTTTTTTACCATAATATTATATTTTCTATTATTAAAAACCTTAATAATAATATGATAAAGAGTTTACGTCTCTTTATCATATTTTTTTGTAAAATCTATATTTATTAAAATATATCTTTATTAATTTTTAAAAATAAATTGTTTTGAAACTTGTTGTCTCAATTCATTATGACATTTCGTTTGATATATTTTTCTTTAAATTTTTTTTGAAATATTTTTGTCGCGGAGAGTCTAAATCCTATTGTTACATAATAAATATACTATATAAAAAGTATATATGATAATGAGTTAATGTCCACTCATTTTGAATTAAAAATCTATTATGATATATATATTGATACTGCAAGTCTAATAATAAAATTAAATTTAGAGATAAATCATGTAAACCATCATTTTAAATACCACGTGGTATATATATAGTCTAACATCAAATGAGTTTATATTAATTAAAAAAGGTAAAAAAAAATAAACTATGATGAGGCTCAAAGTAATACGTACTTTGGAACATTATATTAATGTATGTTTGTTTAACCATTATTTTCGGAATTCTCCTACAAAAGAAGATATTTTTGTATCTTTTTTCATGTCGGGGGGATATTTTGTATCTTTGATATACTTTTCAAAGTGAAATAGGTCCAAAATGATTTTGTCAAGCACTAGTAGTCTAGTATATATATATATATATATATATATATTTTTTTTTTTTTCACTAGTAGTCTAGTATTCATCCGTGCCATTTTGTCTGCTTCCGTCTAAAATTATTAAAGAGAAACTTTTTTTTTTTTTTTTTTAATTATTATTATTAAAGAGAAACTTCCATTGAAGAAAGGTTTAAACCACGATTTTTCAAAAACCCATCGTATCTTGTTTCCACGAACCATCATATGCATGTTGTTATAATTACAATTACAGTTTTTTACTTTAAACTATATGACGACAAAAAAAAAAAAAAACTTAAAACACTATATTATAAAAAGATATGCATACATGCACCAATCCAATGTATATAAGACTATAGAGGGAGTAACGTTAAAATATATTCACGAACTAACCAACGAAGAGAGATGGCGACTAGTTCTTCGAGTTGTGGGATTGAACAACTTCAAAAAGGATGTTACTATGAGTGGATGAGTGTACAAGCTACACACATAGTTGATCTCAAAGAAGCACTCACGAGTCATCGATCCAAAGACGATCACAAGCTTGAAGAACTCGTTGGTAAAATCGTCAATGACTTCCAAAAATACACCGAAAAACGATCCGAGCTCTCTCGCCGAAGCTGCTCTAGCTACTTTGCACCGTCGTGGAACTCTTCTCTAGAGAACGGTTTACTATGGATGGGAGGATGTCGTCCTTCGTCTTTCATAAGAGTTATTTACTCTCTTTGTGGATCCCAAGCTGAAACGCAGCTTTCTCAGTATCTTCTCAAGGTCGATGAAAACGTCGAAGAAAACCAAGGTGGTTCCATGAGTGATCTTAACGCGACGCAGCTTGCAAAAATCAATGATTTGCATATACAGGTTATAGAGAAGGAAGACCAGATAACAAAGAAATCGGCGAATCTGCAAGAGGATGTTGCGGATATGCCTATCGCCATCGCGGCTTACGCCACGGATTTGGTGGATGGTGACATGCTGGTGGAGGATGCTTTAGATAAGCACGAGGAGGGGATGGCGGTTTTAATGACGGAAGCTGATAAGCTAAGGTTTGAGACGCTTAGGAAAATCGTGGAGGTTGTTACTCCGGTTCAAGCCGCTGAGTTTTTGCTCGCCGGTAAAAGACTACACATATCATTGCACGAGTGGGGAAGAGTTAGAGAAGAGAGACGTTTTGGGTGTGCACGTACGGATGCAGCCGCTGCCACGGGAGGAGCAGGAACCAAGAAGTCAAAGAGATCAGCCACTTGTTGATGTAAGTGTGAGTTTGAAGTTGAATATATATAACTTGTGTAATATTTGTCTAAGTAGAGATCATATATAAGATCGATCGTGTCTAAGTGTCTTTATGTGTAATATGTGTATGAGAGTTCGACTAGTTTCGAGATGATGCAAGCATAAGCTTTTGCTTTTGTCTTATATAACGAATAAACAAGGTTTTATCAAGAGACTCGAATTCCTTTTTTTTCTTTTTTTTTATAAATATACGAATAAATTGTGATGGTTTCGGTCTAAACACCATCCTGTTTGTTCGCTATCAAATTACTAAAATGGTAAGTAAATTTTCTTGGCCAACTTGATTTTTTAGTTTTTGTCTTATATTTCCTTAAAGAACTTCTATTATATTTTAGATGTAATGACTCAGGAATATAACTTTTAACTCTACTGTAATTGTAAACATTTGTAGTTTACAAAAATATTTTAGAAGAATTTAGTATATAAATTTTTAAATATTTCATTAAAATACGTTGAACACCTAACCAAAACAAGTGTAAATTGACAATTCGAATTTTGTCTGGCAGTATTGAATCTTTATATCATTGGAATATTCCTTTTTAGTTTTTAGATTATTTTTCCAAAGTAAAAACGGTATATACAATTGGGCAAAAAGATGGAGAGATACTTATGAATCAGACAAATCAAAGACTCCAAAGGTTACAAAAAGGTGACATCTACATCTCCCGAATCGAGTAAAAGGATTACGTGGTAACTACATCACCTTGTTCCCCAACACGCTAGCGAGATGGAGACTGCAAAACGCCTAACCATCTCTTGTTTCTATTTAACATAAATATGAATTGCTATCATACTATGTATATTTATTAGCATAGAATGTTTGAATCGTTTTAGCGTCCAACTAATCTCAGAGCTAAATATTTTTTTGGCTTAAAGTTTTATGCAAACTTAAAAAGAGTTTAAGCCGAAACTCATGATACCAAATCACCCACTCACACATGACACAACAACTTTGTTCATAGACAACAAGATATTTATATTATTTCTTGTTTTATCTGTACATATATTTATAATTATTATATTAAAGGGACATTGACACATTATACCACTATAGTAATTGTTATATATGCAATTTAAAGCTTTTCTAAAAAAGAAAAGACATTTTCATATGGGCTTTAATGGGGCATGTGGGTCGTGCTGGTAAATTAGGTCACCAGACTCACCACTTGCAATTGCATTTTATTTTTGGTTTTATATAGTCCTTATTTCATTGGGGAAAATTTAAATTTTCGCTTTAATATTAGAGACAATTTTATGTTTCTTATTTCCTCCAACAAGTTACATTTTTATTTTCACTAGTATTAACTAATTCTAAGACACAAAAATCCCAAATATTGATATTTTTCTTATTCCCCCCCAAAAAAATCAGGAATGAAAGAAAAAGAAATAAACATAGGGGAAAAAATAAAGAAAGACAGATGATGATTGAGCACATTCAAACAAAATATCCAAAAAAAGTTAAGAGTTTGTTATATCATCAATGCATCATCAGTCATCACCAACATATATGCTTTACACTCGCATGTAAATCGAGCAAAGCTTGGCCATATCAAGAAACAACAGTTTTTGTATCCGTGATTGTCAAATCTTACAAATATAATAATTTTCCCATAAAGAGACAAATATTTTGCTATCAACTCAAAACCAACTTGCAGAACAGTAACACAAAGACAAACACTTCACATGGTTCTTGTCAATTTCTTAACCCACAAATAAATAAAATTCCTCATACAAAAATAAACTTCACCATCAGAATTTCCCACCATTAAAATGCTCAAGAATCAACAAGAATAAAAGAACAAGAACATTCTTCTCTTCTTGTTCTTACCCATTTTAGCAAATTAAAAGACAAACCAAAAACAAAAATAAAACCAATTATCATATATCAAAAAGTGGATATTTTTTTTAGAAGAAGAAATGAACTTTCTTTTATTTATTTCATTGTTTTTATACATATCAAAGATCTGATTATGTGAAACTGTTTACAATTCTCCCATTACAAAAAAAAACTGCTCAAAGGTTAGTAAAAAACATAACTCAATTTCTCTAACAACTCTCTCCAACAGAAACATAGTGTTACATAATTCGATTCTAAATCTCACCAACCCTAAGCAGCTTTTTGTTTTTCAATTCAGATTACAAAACCCAAAACTCCCATAAGAACAATATGAAGGAGAATCAAAACGTATACATACCCTCATGATCTCTGGCTTTGTAGTCTTTCAAGTCTTCTATTCAGTGTCAGAAGGCAAGAAACAAACGGGTGGAGAATTCGCGATCGCGGTTTCAGTTTCATCAACCGCAGAAACCATTACAGGCTCAGCTACTACATCATCAGCTGTCAAATTTTGTAACTTGGGTTTCAATTCGTTGTTACAAAACTCTTCATACTCTGTTTTATCTCCTCCTTTCTTCTTGACTTCAACAACAACCAACGATGGTGTCAATTCGAATATCTCAGCCGCAATCGTCAATGGACCTTTCACTCCTTGTCTTGAACCTTCGAGACTTACCCTACAATCCTTCTTCCTCACGGTAAAGCTCACAACTTTAGCAATCTCTTCCAACTTCGATATAATCTTCGAAACCGGAGCTCCCGAAACAAACCTAGAACCTTCACCATCGTCATCAAACAACCCCGATAAATCAAATCCTTGCGAAAACGATATGATATCGAAAGCATTCAAACTCGCAGGTCTAGGCAACCCCCCTACTCTCCTTCTAGGCTCCAAATACTCAATCTCTGATTCAGAAACCGCGGAATCTCTATCCGATTCAGACTCCAACTCATTATCATCAACAACATTACATAACTTATCATCCTCCACATAAAACTTAATATGCTTAAACCCTTTCTTAAACCAAGAATTCTCCATAATCTCAGGGAAAGTAAACCGTTTCTCCGGATTCGTCTCCAAAAGCTTCGACAACAACCTCGTAAGCTCAGCAGAAAACCACCTAGGACACCTAAATTCCCCTCTGTAAATCTTCTTATACATAGCCATAACATTCCGATCATGAAAAGGTAAATAACCAGCCATCAACACAAACAAGATAACACCACAAGACCAAATATCAACTTTAGCAGCATCATAACCTTTCCTCGCTAAAACCTCAGGAGCAACATAAGCAGGAGTACCACAAAACGTATGAAAAAGCCCATCTTGACGAATCTGATCAGAGACAGCACTAAGTCCAAAGTCAGAGACTTTAAGATTACCATTCTCATCAAGCAAAAGATTCTCAGGTTTCAGATCTCTATGATAAACACCTCTCGCGTGACAGAAAGTAACAGCAGAGATCAATTGCTGGAAATATTTCCGAGCTACTTCTTCTTTAAGACGACCTTTAGCTACCTTATTGAACAACTCACCTCCACGAACATATTCCATCACGAAATAGATCTTCGCTTTCGTCGCCATGACTTCGAATAGCTGAACAATGTTTGGGTGACGAACACGTCGGAGAATCGAGATCTCGCGTTTGATGTGTGCGATTAAACCTCCTTTGAGAACTTTCTCTTTGTCGATTACTTTGATTGCTACGCTTTCTCCTGATTTCACGTTACGTGCGAGATAAACCTTAGCGAAAGTTCCATGGCCGAGAAGCTTACCCATTTCGTATCTCCCGAGAATTAGAGCTTGTGGGCTGCTTCTCTCTTTAGGTAAAGACGTTTCTCTTGTGATTTTCTCCGCCATTGATGAAGAAAGTTTGAACCTTTTTTAGGGATTTGGAGGATGAAGAAGAGAGAAGGTGGAGAAATCGAGATTCTGGGCGAGACCAGCTCGCAAAGATTTCGAATTTCTCACCTGTTGATTCGTTTGTTTGAATCTCTCTCTCTCTCTCTCGTTTTGTGAATTTTTCGAGATTGTTGTAGAAGAAGAAGTTTCTCTCTCTAAGGACTTTCTCTTTCTTCTGTATTTAGGGATTCATCACTAAAAATAGCATTGGCCTCTGTTTATATCGTCGCCGTATATATTTAGGAATATGCTTATGATTTTTTTTTTTTTTTTATTCTTATGAATTTTGTTGAGTGTTCCTCTCAACTTAAAAGTCACTTTTTTTTTTTTTTGGTTACAAGTCTTGTGACATCGACTTGGGTATATAAATAACTTTATAAATTTAATGTAAGATTTTGTGTTTAGTGATATTCTTAAGTACTGTGTCGACTAGATTTAATGCGTTACAATAACTACTAATCATTTCCCGACGATATATAAGTTGTTTCAATTCAAAATATAAACTAAGATTAATAAGTTAAAAAACAATATCAACTTATCATTCTATATTATATTATTTGATGATCATCATTCACGTGAAGATACTACTCCCTCCGTTTCGTTTTAGTGGTCGTTTAAGGTTTTTTCACACAAATTAAAAAAACATTAAATTTACTGTTATACCCTTTATTAATATATTTTATAAAAAAATTTATTGGCCGAAACATTAAAACAGTATGGGATAAAACTGGAATTTTCACCAAACATTTGCATCGAAAACCTAAAACGACAACTATCATGAAACAAAATTTTAACTCTAAAACGACAAGTAAAACGAAACGCTCTCAATGTTAATTATTTCATTGTATTTTAATATTTTGTTTATTATTTATAGCATGTATTCTGGTTTCTTCGAACGAACAGTATTTATCATGCCTCTCATGCACCAATTATAGACCACTTGTTTGTTACAAATACGCAGAAACAAAAAACATAAAGTCACTATCATAGTTTTGTTTTGCTATAATTCATTTTTAGAACCGCTAATGTCAAACAATAACGCAATAAAACGATCAAATAAATGAATTGATGTTGAATCATACTATCAAATAATTGTTGTGGTCCATACGACATTGTTCCAAATACAATGTTTCTAAAAATCTTTCAAATTGTAGTACCTTACATTATAAACGCTTTTAAATGATGAATTTTAAACTTTGATTAATCTATTAGGGAAAGACAATTACGTACCAATAGCTAAGTGAGTGGGTCAAGTTGTTGGTCTCGAGACGAATCTAGATCGTAGATTTACGTATGAGTATCAAAATAAAATATCACGTAGTACCATATAACATAATCCACGTGGCGTAAATATGACATCATTGTTTTCTGTGGCTGTATTATTCAAACGATACTATTCCCTCCGTTTCTAGATTTCATATATATTAATAAGCAATCATTCTTAAATTATTTATCAATTACTTTTTTATATCAAATATTTTTTAATAATTTTGAACCAATAGTATTAGAAAACAGTTAATCATTACATCTTAAAGTTTACGATATATTAATTTTAATCAATAAAAAATAAAATAAAAACTTAAAAAATTAAATTATGTGAAACAAACTAAAACTCTATAGAACATCAAATATCTAAGAACAGAAATAGTAGTTAATAAGATTTGTTTTCCACGTGGCAGTTATTCAGCGATCGCTTTAGTTTAAGTGCCCTCGATTCTCGAGTTTTCTATCTGGTAAGTGTTAGGTTCCACGTCATTTGATCAGAAAAACAGCTGTGAGTTTAACCACAGCCGTTTGATTGCCACATGAAAATGTTTTTTTGTTTTTATGTAGACTCACAGAAATTACGGCAAAACTCGGTCGAGAATCCATATTATTAATTCAACTATGAAAATAGTTTCATTAGAAATCTAAATTAGTTTTTGTTAAGAAATTACGAGAGTCAAATCTACTGCAACGGTTGGTGAATAAGGACGGTGGGATCGTAAGTCAACGTACGTAATGGTGGTCGGTCAAGAGTTTATTATAAGCAAGAGAAATTATCATATGAAACAGGTTAGATAGTCCATTTAGAACGATAATGATGTCAATGATATTTTAGATAGATTTCCTTAATCATATCTTAAATGAAACTTACGAATATCTAAGAAACACAAAGATATGATTAGTTTTCTCCTTCGCAGTACTAATTGGTAAATGTTCCACACTGAATATTGAATATCAACTTTTCTATAATGGAATTGTGATTGGCACTTGCATTAAGTTAATAATTTCACATAGATTTACAAGTTCAAATGATAAAATAAGTTATATAATTCCACGTAGATCGTACGCACACATTTTGTTTACATTCTTTAACGTGTTGCATGCTAAGTATACAAGATATACCTTGGAACAAAAGAGGCAAATGCCTCCTAATGGCCCAAATTATATATATTATGTTTAGAGGATCCCAATTCAAAATATTACTCGTAGTATTTTGGTTCAACTATACTTCTCTTCGAGGTTCGAGCCTTTGACGCTACTTTGAAACAAACTTTCGCATTTAAAGAATATTATTTTTTCTTCCTAATTATTTTATTAAATTTGTAATTTGAACTTATCAATCCTATTAAAAGAAACTGAGAAAGCTGCCGACGGTTGTTCAATCGTTTATGTTTTCCTCCGCCACGATTCCGGATTTGGACAGAATCTCTTTGAGAAGTCTCAAGTCTTGGTTGTGGGTTCGTATGGGACAAGACATACCAAAATATTTGGGCCTCTATGAGTTATTTTGGTTTTGCCTACTATATATATATGGGCCTATATAAATCTCTATAAGAAAACACAAGTTCCGTCAATGAGATATATGGCCATAGATCACATATTTGCAATTGCATAAGAGAAAAAAATAATAATTCCATAATATTAATCAATACTCGAAATTTTCTCAAACTCTTGTTATCAAAAAAAAAAAAAAAAAAAAAAAACCTTGGCTCGAGGCTAAAGAATTATCTTGGATTTTGTCAAAAAGAGTTATTAATATTTCGCCATTTTAGTTACTTTATAACAGTTAACATGGAGTTTTAAAAACATATAAAAGGTAAACATTGTGCCAAAATCTAATTAACAAACTATTCTAACCACTCTTTTATCTTTCTTTGTAGACTTGTAATGTACAAAGAAGAGTGTTTTCATAAATCTATGAGCCTTATATTATAAAAGCCCATTTTTTCCACTAGTTTTATAAGCATTGGGTATGGAGGGCTAAGTTCCAATGGAGGCCTGAAAAATGTGAACATCATAATGGTGAAGTGCACTCTAAGGACTCTACGTTCGAAAACAGCATGAAACTATCTTTCACAAAAATATTATTAACAAATTTTTTTTAGAAAAATAATAAAGACAGAGAGGCTGAGAGTTATATAAGAAGTTTGACTAAATAAGTTTGCAGCTTTGACCAGCCCACCTTCTCCCACCGACTGCCAGCCCATCCGTCAAAATTTCTATCTTCATTTCCTTACAAATATTTATTCAATCCCTTCATTTCAAATTTATATAGTTTTCTACTCGTAATGTAGTCTAAATCTAAATACTCTAAACTAAATAAAAGGTAGAAACTAAATGAAATTTACTTGAATTTGTAAATTATATTCATACTTTCGCAATGTTATAAATGAATTCAAATATGATCATATTATATAATCATTTTCTTTTTGCTAAACTACATATTATATAATCATAGTTTTTTTATTTTTTAGGAATTGCCCATCATTATTGCGTATGTTCAACATTATATCATATATTGTAAGTAATACATTGTTGTTATGATGTTGTATAGCATCGACGTTATGAAAACATTTATAACTTGTAATGTATCTTAAATTAATTATTTTCACATCGTTTTCCAACCATATAGACGTCTTTAACGTAAGAAAATTGACTTTCTATGTCTTTGAAAATTAGTCCGGTTTACAAAATGATCTTTGATTATAATTTTTTAATGATAATAAAATTAAAATAATGTAAATGTTTTACCAAGGATAAACCGAAGTTAAGAAAATAAAAATCAGATATAGACAAGTTCAATGGCCAAACTAACGGACACATGACAATAATTTAGTTGGAATGCTTGAAGAGATGGCAAGAATATGCTTCAAGAGGTTATGATATATGAAGGGGTTACCTCTTAATTTTTTCATTTCTTTTGCCGACGGTTAGCTGTTAGTTAGGAAAAAGAATTTTAATTTTAGGGTTTTCTCTAGCTCTTCCCTTTCGTACGAACCCAATCATTATTCTCTTCTTTATACTTAGCTTTGCCTCTCATTTTCATGTTATCATCACATTTAATTTCTCGTTAAATAATATATCGTCAATGAAAATGTTATGCAAATTATTAGTTCTTCTTCTTCATTCTCTGCCTTGGCTCGAACCTCAATCACATGGTGCACGTTATTGTGATTTCCCATACCTCAAGAGTTATTCAAGATCCATACAAAAAGATAATATAATCTTTTATCTAGTGTAGTTTTCTTCATTATTCACTTTAAAACATTATGTTATATATATACAAAATATAGACAAAAGGCTTCTTGAGTGAGACCGCTTTTGCTCCGATTCATTCTGCTATACTCCAATAGTTTTATTACGGTATATAACAAGAATCGTGGGATTTGTTTAATCCGTACAATGAAAAATAAAGATATACTTCAATAACTTAATCATTTCTATCGAAAATAAACTATCTATATTCTTGTCTCATTGAAATAGTGCAATGAAAATAAATGTAAATTATGATTCTATATAAAATAAATAGTATGAACTTACAAAATCGCACAATTGTTTCTCAAATTTTGCAAGGTTCACTCACGTTTACATTTTGTTTTCTCTGCAAAGCGAGTGTAGTATATGAAACATTTAAATCTGGTTGCTGTTGTATATACGATTGGATAATACTTGTATCGACATTTAAATTATTGAGCGTCAAGATAATTCACAATATTTTGTAATGTAAATCCATACAGCCAAAAGTATGTATGTCCCATGCATAATTGAACAAAAAGAAATTATATTAATATTTTTTTGTTGTCTTCTGCAAATGCTAGTACTGCTATCATTATCATCATTGATTTTAATATTGATGTTTCCAGAAAAAAATAAATAAACAAATATAAAGAATATAAGAAACACAATAAGTAAAGCTACACTATTAGGTAA